CCCCCCCCCTCCCAAACTGCATAATTGAGCAGCCCAACCGCTCAAGTCTGATTTAGTTGCATGCATTCGTACTAGTGCTGTAGTAAAAATTATGTTACTGGGCACGACTTGGAAGCATTGCAGTTATAACTCTCACAGAGGAGCTGGCTCATCACAGGATTTCAGATTAATGGAAAAAATCTTTTGGTTATTTGTTGGTCTTGTTCTGAGTCTTCGCTTTGTTTCCTTCCTCTCAAGGCTGTAAACAGGGGTAAAGGACTCCTCCCCGATCCGACAGCCATGCAGATACTCACAGGCCTCAGCAACCCCGCCGCCCTCAAGATGCTGCTCAACCCACTGACACAGGGACATAAACAAGGTGAGGAGCCATGAGCTGCTTTTAATCTGTTTTATTGCTATTATTCGTTCTCCTGCGGTGGATCTTAATCTTTGTCGATGCGCAGGCCTCCTCGGTGCGGCCCCCGCCATACCGCCACTGCTTGCCAACCCCGCTCTCACGGCCGCCCTGCTCCAGCTGCTCCTTCAGAACCAGGCCAAGGCTCAGCAGGTACCGCTGCCTTTTCCATCTTTGCTCCGTCATGTTCTTCCCTGCTTTTGCTTCCTGCCCGTTTTTGATTCGTCCTCTCCTACTCACAGACTTTGTTCCCCACTCTGTTCTGTCCCTCTTTACCATTAGCAAGCCCTTCTGGGAAATCCTCTTCTGTGGGCTCAGGTGCTACACAATAAAGAAAACCCTCTAGTGCCTTGTGTGAGTGATAACGGTTTTTATGGTTGGCCATCAGTGTGTGTGTGAGAGTTGGAGCTGAAGTTAGATGGATTCTGGCCCTTTCTTCTTTTTATGTGAATGCTGATAGAAAACCTATTGCCTGGGTGGGTAAGCTCTTGCTAGGAAAGTGAGGGTTTTTTTGTGCGTGTATGTGTGGAGTGTTCCTTCGAGTGGTGCTGAGTAATGCGGTAGATGTACTATTATGCTGTGTGCCAGAATTGTAAAGGTACATCCTGTAAGGACATAATTTCATATACAGCAAGTAAACTTGCTGAATACATGTGTTTTAAGTTCTTTGTCGCCTTGATGTTGCAGTGTGGCTGAGTGACCCTGTTGTGACTGAACCTTTTCTCCCCCTTTTTTTTTTTTTTTTTTTTTTTTTTCCCCTCTTGGTCAGCAGCCGGGACTTATTGGGGAGAATCCTCTGGCCTCTCTGCCTGTCCAGCAGGGAGTCCATCTGCTCGGAGACCTGCCCCAAGGTTTGGCATCAGTGCACTCCAGCCGTGGCTCCTTCAGCCACAGACTGCATGTCTGCTTTTGATGATAAACATCTGCATTGCCATTAGCCTGTCCATCAGGCGTCCTACTCTTTACATTACTTATGTTACCCAAATTAAAACGGAATGCATATCTAATTTCCACTGAAAAGCTTGAAGGAGAAGATTAAAAATGAAATGTGTGATTGTTGTTGGATTGTCATTTACACTGAAGTCTCTAATCACTATAGGTGGTATTGTCCCTGGACTGGCTCTTCAGACCGATCCTCTGCCCCCCTTGAAGCCAGTGCCACGTGGCAGAACTCTTTCAAGGGATCAGGAGTCCCCCACGTCGGCTTGTCCCTTCCCCCAGACCTCCTCTCCGACCCTGCCGGGGATCTCTATGCCCCTGCTGGGTGGCATGATCGGGGCAGATGGCCTCACAGCACAAGGGGTGAGTTCCCAAGTAATTCCCTTTTAAAAATGCCTTCAGTCCTTCAACTGCTTTGTTCCCTCTTCATTCTCATTCCTCATTCTGTGCAGGAAATGTAAAAATAAGCTATCTTTTTTCTTTTTAAACTTCATGTCAGGTTTCCATACTAGGAGATCCTGCAAAAGATGCAAACCTTCCCCAGAGTCCCTTCCTCAATGTCAGCAACGTGTTTTCCTCAGGTGAGGTGCTGCTTTTTTTGCTGTGCTCGCATGAGCGGCAAAGATTTTATCTACTTTTACAGTCTGTTCTTCTTTGCTGCTTCAACTGAGAGATTATGTTGGATGCATCAAGGATATATTTGTATACCGTGCATCTCCTCCAGGAGGAAGCTGCAGACCTCACCCTTACAGAAGGCGGCCTACACTGAGTAACGTGTCCAACCAGAGCATGCAACCGAATTACAACCTGCGTTACCAGGATTCCTACAGCCCTGAGTACCCCCCACTCCATCGGGTAGCTATGAATCATTGCTGCTCAGACTCCTGATTTTTAAATGTGTATTCTTTCCACATCGATGGGTCGTGTGTTTTTTGTTTTTCCTTGTCTTCCTTACTCCTCTAGTCATTGTGACCTGTTGAATTTACTGTATAGCGCTTGGCTGCTCATTTAGTGGTTTTATGACACGATCTGGTCTGATGCCATCTGGTGTCTCTCCTCAGGATCCCCTTGCCCACTTGTATGAACAGCAGGAGAATCTTGATGCCGGGGCCTTGGCAGGATTCGGTCAGCAGGTAGTGCTTTGTCAACTGTTTCAAAGCTGACTTGAGGACATTTGTCGTGTCAGTAAATTAAATGCACACCTCCCTGTAGTAACATAGCTGTGAACTTGTCTGTCTCTGCAGGCCTCTCATTGCGCTGAATACAGTGAGCGGTTCCCCCCCTACAGTTACCCTCCAAGCCCACCTCTGTCCTCATATTTCAGCTCAGGGTCTGAGAGCTCCTGTAATGGGAGCCTTCCCACCCCCCAGCTCAACAGGGTAAGCAAAAGCTTTGCATTGATTTTTGTTTTTTGATATATGAAGGATTGATTATTTGTCAGTGCAAGAATACTGAGGATAGCACTAGAAGGGAATAAATAAATAAATAAAATAAAAATAAAATAGTGGAGGGCTAGGTGCCAAGAATAAGTCTGTGTTCAATAATTAATGTTCCACTGTGAGTGCTTGAGTTGAAGTCAGATGATGGGTGGTTGTTTGTCTTTAGGCTGTGGGAATGCCTCCTGTGAGCCACACCACCAACTACCCTGCAGGTGTGGAGAATGTTATGAAGGTAATTTATAGGCTTCCATGTTATTGTTTCACATCATTTTTCTTTTTGAAGTTTCTCTTTTGATTTTTAACTACCCCCCCCCCCCTTCTCTTTCTTGTAATTATAGACTCCCATCGGTAGCCAAAAGCGCACGTTCTCCCGGCTGATCCCGTCTCCCGAGCCGAGCCCTGAAGGCAGTTACGTGGGCCAGCACTCCCAAGGCCTCGGCGGTCACTACGCAGACTCCTATCTTAAGCGTAAGCGTATATTCTGAGTACAGCTGTAACGAGTAGCCATTCAGCAGCCAGGATGGAGTAGCATCTTCTCTCCCATATTCTCCAATGGACTCAGTAACTTGGTGGTCCTCGGATTTATTGTCCCATATGCTCGTGTGAGTGACCTCTGGAGGCTGCAGAGTAGTGCAGTCTGTTTGTCACTCTGTGGAAAAACCTGCATGTTCAATTTTTTTTTCTTTTTTGTATATATGATTTTACTGTGTTTTGTACATTTCAGTTTTAAATTTTTATTTGCCTGAACTTCCTGTTGAAAACCTTGTAAATTAAGGAGAAAAAGTGGTTCATTAGTAAATGCAATCTTTTTTTTTCTTGAGCTTTTTTGTTTTTTTGAATTCCTGTGAGTGTGGTATATCAGCAGATCTGCAGTTTGGCCACTTTCAATGGTAACTAGCGGCTGCTTTTAAAAAATAAAAAAAGATTTAACATCTCACCAAAGTGATGCTGTCCACAGTTTCAGGCAAAGGGACTTGCATAGTGTAAGAACAAGCTTTATAGGCTCTTTGTGGGAGAAGAGAAAAAAAAAAAGCCTACCGTATTCCATGTAAAAAGTTCATGAGTTTGTATAATGAGATGGTGTTATGGTGTCTTGTTTTCCCCCTTCCTACCACACAGTTGTAAATTTTGCTTTATAACATTTCTGGTTTCAAACATTTCCTAATTGTTAACCTGCAGCTTTCCATCCACCAGTGATGGTTGTGTGGTGTTATGAGGCGAAGCTTTTTACCAATCTGGGATGCTTCCTGAGCCTAAACTTTTCCACGTTGTTTTGTCTTTCTAACCACACCCTCCAGCCTGTTCATGGAGTCTGTTCTCTACACTGGTTGTTGAGTGATGCACTTGGAGGGCACAGGTCATGTGTTCTCACCTGTATAAAAATGCCATCTCAAGTCCCCTCTCACTCATGTATGTCCAGGAGTCGACGTATTTTCTGTGTTTATGTGAGTTCTGTGTTGCCATGTTTACATTTTTGAATGTTTTATAAAACCGTGAACGCTGCCCCACCCCTTGAAGGGTGGGGGCAGGTGCAGATAGCGCTGCATGCCATCTCTCCAGCTGCCAGCAGATCGTGCATGAATACAGGAGCGGTTCGGTGTTCTCAGTGAGGGGCTCAACTGTGAGTCGAACCGGCTTCTCCCGACGAGCACACGGCAGCTGGAACGATGGACAGAGCCTCTGTTTAGTTTTCAGATGATATTGGGGGTTCAGTATGTCTTTGGAGATACTGCTGGAAGCTTGTGGCAGGTGATTGGTCAGTGACATGATTGTTCTTGTATTAATATTTTTATTTAATTTTTTTAAAAGAATAATTATCTGGTTGACGGTTTGATTGTGAAAACCCATTACCTCTGACTTCTGCTAGGAAATGCAGCTACACTTGAGCCTTAACTGTGTTTTCTGTGATCTCATCCTGCCCTGTGTTGGCTTCCATCTACATTTACAATTTGTGTTTATTTGCTGTGTAAATAGTTAAAGATTCCCCTCCTCCCTTTTCTTGAGTCCAGAAACACTTGTTTTCCTTAATGACACCTGCCTCTGGTTCTGGTGTTTTTTGAATCTTTGCTGCTCGGTGTTTTCATTTTTTATTTTTTTTATTTTAATTTTTTTGGAAGTGAACAGAGTGGCAACACAGCAGACCGCTCATGTTGTGTATGGACCAAGAGATGCAGCTGTACTGTATGATCATCACTCATTTTGATTGGATTTTTTTTTTTTTAAACTGCTGTCCTCTCATCTGTACCACCATGATTGTCTCTGTATGCGTGTGTGTGTGTGTGTGTGTGTGTGATGTGCGCAAGTAAATGTTATTTAAACTCACCACTTTCTCTGAACTCTTTTTGAATTGTGTCTAAATGTGAAGCCTTACTTGGATCGAATGGCTGTCTATGTTTTGCTCTTACGTTTAACCTCATAGGCTAGATCTCAATTAGTTAACTTCAGCGTTTTAATGTAGCTGTCATTCACAGCTCAATTTTACAGCTAGTTTTAATGAAACTTCTACCCTATAATCCAGAAATCTTGATTATAGAATGCACCTGATAATTGTTGTGTAGAGGTTGTTAATATAAATTTACTATTAGAATACGATTTTATTTAGGCTTTAAACAGACGTGTCACCTAAGAAATCTTGGGGCTTTTGCTGAATATAATTGAAAGTTTTGAAAAGGGGTGCAGCATTTGGTGTCTATTGGTGACAAGAGGGACAGCCAAGATGGGTTTTTAAGATGTCTTCCCCCATGAGGTATTTGGGCTTTCTTACGGTTTGCATCAGTTATGCTAAAAGGTCAAAGGTGCCCTACAGACATTTAATACATCAATCTGTCACCCAAACGCATACGCTCCGCTCCCGTATGGTAAGAGACTTCTGACAGGACTATCTTCAAACACCTGTGGGAAGTTATTTTCTCATCTTAAAGCCATAAAAAGTGTATGTGTAGAAACGACCAGTCAAACTTCATAAAAATGATGACCTAAAAGCAGTCTCTAAGAAAAGCTTCTCTCCCTTGGAAGTTTTTCTTCTGCCGCTGTTGGCCTGTTCCTTAGATTTCAGTTCTGGAGCTGCGGTTGAATAGTCCAAAAAGGACAACGTGCCTCTTTCGCCTCATGCTTTTTTCTTTTTTTTTTTCAAATTTTATTTAATTTTATTTAATTTTTTTCCCCCTCAAGCTCAGTGAAAAATATCACAAGGATTTATAAGGACTCAAGAAAAGGGAAGCATTGTGTGTAGAGAGGTCATCTAAACTGCTGATTTAAAAATGTTGTTATAAAGGTTGGAATTTAACAAAAAAACAACTCTCATCAATCAAATCACGCTCTTGTTAATTTTTCCTGCTGCAGAGATGATCCAGCAAAGTTGTTAAAATTTTGTGTTTTCTGATAGGTTTTTGTATTTCATTTTGACCTTTTTTTTTTTTTTTTAAATTTTGAATTTAGTTTAGTTTCATTATTTCCAGACAAGATTTTATTTCAGTTTAGTTTTTGTTTGACTTTTTGAAAGCGGTTGACTGAGCCGTGTAGATATCCAGAGTCTAAATAAACACGTCTATCAATGACTCATCAGGCAAGTTGTCACCAAACTAACAGATATTAAAACTAACGATCTTTCCTCTACATTTTTATTTTATTTTGGTTTTTGAAATCCATAAAATATTTTTTTAAAGTAGACTTCTGAAGAAACTAAATAAATAAATGCAGCAACAAATATAAGTAATGCAAAGTGAATCATGGCAAACCTTAAACACACTGATGTGTTAACATAATCTGGATTCAGAGAGTTTCTATAAATCTACATTCTTCATCAAAACAAGGAGCAGATTTCATTACAGCGGCGTGATGTTCGAAGTCACTGACACTTCAGAACACATCAGCAGGTTATTCACACGAAATGGAAAATAGAAATACACATTTGCACCCCTGTGATGGCTGCACCTGCAGACACGCAGCTAACAAGTCGGTAACCCCATGAGCCAACACTTACACAGCAATTTAAGAGTGATCTTAATTCCATAAATATCACACACAGACACATAAATCAGCAAAATTCTTGAGTTTGCATGCCATGGCAAGATTTATTTGGCACTGTTGAAGTACATTGTGCGCAATACAAATACGTAGATTTAGTTCAGTTTCATATGTTCAGCTATGTTAAATTCTCTTATTTTATTCATTATTAATCTCTTTCTCTGGTTTTGCCAGTGCTGGAGCGTCCGTTTGGCTGCTGAGGCCTGCTGGCATCACGGGGAGCAAAAGATGTGCTCTTGAAGGCAGCTTTACATACAGGAAGTGCCATCTGGGCCATGCCAAACACTGCTCATAGTCAGAGGCATGATTAAGTCATTCATCTTAAATATGTTGTCTGTTTTAACTCCCGAGTTAGTATTTGGTTATGTTTGGATTTGGTTATTATTCATTTAAAGTAATTATTAAACTGACTATTGGTTTTGTTTCTTCAATATTAAATCATTTGTTAGTATTTGCTCCCTCTTGTGTATAAAACTGGTTTGATAAGCCAGTAGTTTAGTCCCTTTTGTCAGCTTAGTTTTTGGATCTGTTGAGTGGTTAGGTTTCTTTTCCTGTTGACTTTATTATCTTAGTTCTGTTCAAAAGGGCCCGTTATTATTAGATGACTTTTGTATAACTTATTCTTTGCATTTTTGGATCATTAAAACCCGTTTTTTCTCAAAATTGTCCTCATGTGTAACCGTCTCAGTCCCTCACAGTCAAGTTGCCAGGTTTGTCGATCGTTTTCATGGATGGTCTAGTTATTTTCTTTCATAAAGAATGGTCCACTATATCCTGTTAAGTGGAGTGAATAAGCTTTCTTTTGTATTTAGAGAATTCAACTAGCTCTTATTATGACTGTTATGCAGATACTTCCGTGTCACTTCACTCTGGAACGCTCCTAAGCTAAACTATTTGACTGCACTCCAGCATTGTTTGAGTGCCCTTTCTCTCTTGAGCTGCGGACACACTGAAAGTGATTCACGGCGACCATAGAAAGTCCATCATATTTGGCAACTTCAAGCAACTACGTGCAAAATAACTGCTGGTGACGTCAACTGAGCAGGACCCACTGTAAACTTTCAGGCAAGTGACTAAAGAAACGATGAGTGAAGAACACTACAAAGTTTATTTGTTAGAGGGTCACCTAGGCGACCGGAGTTTGGAATGTCCACAAGTTTCCAGCTATCAGCTTAAAAGCAATGAGCGAATCGCTGCCAGTGTGCACGCAGCTTTATGGTTTATTCATGCCAAACACAGCATTAAGAGACACATGCTAAAGCAAAATTGTATTTCGTGCCACTTGATTGCATACGGTGTCTATGCAAAAATGCATATTGACACTAGGAGCTATATTTGCATGAATAACCTGAGGTCATCACGAGTGAACACAGTATTATAATCATCTGGTAAAATTGCAAAACAAGACATAAGTAACCGAGTGGTGTCAGTTGCTAGTCTTATTGAAGTATTATTGAATTTAACACGATATTCATTTTGTAAATTTTGGTCACTGGGCATTCGAATGAAAAAGGAGGATATGTTTTTAAAAAGGGTTTAGTTTAGGGCAGGTCTGCACAGTGATTATCCTCCTTTATATCCGTTTCTCAGTCAGATCCACCTCTCGATCATCATATCCAATTCCAAAATGGCAAGATAGCGACAGCTTGAGCCTTCATAAACATACCTCACTAACCAATGGGTGACATCACATTGGCTATGTCCACCTTCTATTTACAGTCTGTGTTTGCCAGTGAATTAGATTAGTTCAGCGTTAGAAATTTAACATTTTGACTTTGACATATGAGCATTTACATTACTAAAAATCTCATAAGCCAACTTACATGCCCGAGATAAAAGGTTAAGAACTCCTTCACAGTTCTAAGCAGCATGAATTGACATACTGGTTATATTTCATTCCAGTTGTATTTAAGTAATGAACCAGAACCTAGAAGTGCGTCGTTTCAATCAGCAGTGATTACACACACAGCCAGCTGATGTTTTGCTTCATTGGCTCAGTAATCAACCGTAAAGACTACGCGTCTGCACACAGATTTTGAGGAATGGGTGTGGTAGACAGAAAACCCGGAGCAAACAAAAGGAAACATGCTTCAAAGCATCTGGAAACCTTCAACAAAACCTCTCTTTGTTTGTTGCCTTCTCTCACATGGGAAAAAACAAGGCTTTTAACCTTAACTCGTATCTTATGATGTATACAATCCTTAATAACTGATAACCAAACCCGCCTCAGCTGTTATCACTGAGGTGCCTTTGCCCTTTGCCGTGAATCTCATTTACATCTTGTTAACGGGGAGATACAGGGCCACTTCTAATGTGCTCTATCAGTGCTGTATTGCTGTGAATGTGACCTGTGTGAATGTTAAGCAGGTTGCTGCCAGGAGGATAATTTGTGCTCCCTGGATGGATAATTACTGAACAACAAACAGGTTGTCAAAAACTAAAAACAACTGAAGAAATGTGTCAAACTGAGATCTGATTAGACAGCTTCATACTAAAAGGGGACCTATTATGCTCATTTCCAACACCATAGTCTTATAGTTAAACTCTATTAGATTAGGCTGGCATAAATCACAGTCCAATATAATCCTTATTCATCTCATACTGGGCCTTGGTGCAGCTCCTTTAATTTCATCTGCTGTCTGAAACAAGCTGGTTTAGCACCCTTCAAGCTAAATTTTGTGTGATTGGTTGCTCCTCGCACAGGGGGTTTCAACAGCAGGAAGATGACACATAAAGAAACATCACAGAGAACCAAAGACAGCCAAATTCAGTGCTTTTTAGCACTCAGGAATTACCTGTACATACACCGACCTCATTATTTGAAACTCTGGCCATTTTCTAATATGAGCATCCAATGCTGTAACCATATAGCTCATTGGACACCTTCCTAGTTTGCTTTCCACAGCCTTAATTCCATGCTTTAATGTTTTTTATACCAAATTATGACACTACAATCCGAGACTCATCAGACCAAGCAATGTTGTTCCAATCTTCTGTTGTCCTATTATAATGAGTCTATGTAAACTGAAGCCTTGGTTTTAGTTTAACATGTCGTGCATTCAGAGCTGCTCTTCTACCTTAGTTATAATGTGTGATTTTTTGAATTACTGTTGCCTTCTTATCAGCTCGAAGCTGCCGGTTATTCTCCCCTAACCTCTGATACCACACAGGCATTTTCACCAAGCGAACTGCTGCTGTATATTTTCTCTTTTTCAAACCATTCTCTGTAAACCCTGGAGATGGATGTGCAGGAAAATCCCAGGAGATCAGCAGTTTCTGAAACACTCAGACCTGCC